GGGATTCCTAAGGCAGGGGAGGTATGAAGATGGGGTACCTCTGATGTAAAGTATCTTAAGCTATCATGGACCAACACCTCAAAATTTCCACATCACCCACGTGTCTTTAATTGATGCTAAAATGCCAGTTGGAAATAATAGTATAAGTAACATGAGCTGAGCTGTAGTTAACTGTGTAATTTAAGTCCATGAAACTATTTACATGTTTAAAGGTATGCAGATACTGGTGTCTTATGCTAGATCAGGATCTTAATTATGCACAGTTTGAGATAATTGGGTTGCTTTAGCTTCATAGCTCAACCTTCTAATTCTAACTACTAAATTACAATTCGACTGTAATCCATGTACCTTTACTTGAACTATTCCAATTTGTTCCATACATTAAGTAATCAGCCATGAAAGTGCTGCAATTAATTCTGCTCCTATATTCTGGTTTTCTGTGGGAGAGGTCTGACTTCAACACATTCATATCACCAGGTGAATTTGGGCAATTATGTCCTTGGCCTTTGCTGTGTGATTTTTCCCAGTAGATATAGATGGATAAATGTTCTGGCTAAATATGCTGAGGAACAAATAAGTCCCAAAGTGTCTTTGTTTTGTTAAGGAGTTTATTCTTAGGTTGCTATCCTAGCTTGTATTTTCTGGCTTTTATTTTCTCTCTCCTGTCTTTTAGAAGCTACACTTAAAAAGAAATCAAAAAAAGTACCAAGCTTGATATTTTTAACAGAAACAAAAAATATGGTGAAGATCATATCTGCGGTTTAGTCCATGATGAACAATCCAGAGTTTCTCTTAATCTAAGGTTTACATGGGTGGAGTGATATCTGCTTACAGGTGCAGGAGTATAACTTCATTTTATTGTTCCCACAGATGAGCACCATGCCAGGACTGCCCACAAGGCCGTGCTTCTATGACATTGACCTTGACCCCTTCACAGAGCAAGTGAAAGGATTGTTTTGAGAGTGACGTCCAAATTCAGGTCAGTCAACAGCCTTTATTTTCCTGTTCCAGCTTGGAGGAGGATGTTTGTCTCTAGTATGTATATAAAAAAGGTTGTCAGGAGTTTATCTAGGCCCTAGTTTCATTAGGGACTTCCCACAATTTGGGGGGATTTGGGAGAATATTTCATGATGTGCACTTTATCACATGGGTTTCTCATTTGCTGAACGGTGGCCAGCACTTTGCTGGTGTGCGCTGATGGTGCGCATCGATGGTGCCTTTTGGATTTCCTGGCTCTGTCAGTTTGGCATGAGGAGGAGCTGGTTCTGCAACTGTACCGCTCTCGGCTATGAAAAAAGGCAGTCTGAAGAAATTATGTCATGTTAGTCACCTCAAAAGAAATACTCTAGTTCATCTTTGATACTGCTCTCTTGTGTTTCTGTCATGACCTAGATATCAGGGGAGATGTTTCTCAGCTTGTTCATGAGCTTTGCTTTGTTTTTCCATATTTTGTTTTTCCTGATTGCTGTCATCTCTCTCAAATGGTAACAAGCATTTCAGGAACACAACTCTGTCCTCTTAACCTGTCTGTTTTTCATGCTGGGTTCTCTCCCTTTCCCTTGAGGGTTGCAGTTCCCCCACCACCTTTTCCCCTTCTCTGAGCACTTAAATCTTCTTGGTGTCATGTTTTAATTTTGTGTAGCACGTTCCTCACTTAAAAATAAAAATCCAAGTTGTTATGAAAATTTTCCATGCTACTCCATTTTAACCTTGTACTGTAATAAGTGGAGTGAGAGAGGATGTTACCCTGACTGAAACAAACCACGTGCGCCTGCGGCAGACTCTCTCCCTCCCCCAATAAATAGGTCTGGAGAGTAAAACAATTACTTTTACACAGAATAACAACATCACTATGAGCTGATAGGACTGTGATGGGACCCCAGATCAGCCACAGCTTTGAGGTGGATGTGCCCAAACACTTGAGCCCTGCTCTAGCAATCCCTTGCCTACTCTGGTTTGAGAGAACTGGCTTTCATTTTCTGTTTCTGTGTTTTAACGGATTGTTTGGAGGAGGGGAGACACAACCCAATGAGATTACTGTTCAGACCAAATTAGCTGTTCACTTGCCCATACTTGAATGTCACAGCATTCACAAAACATCTGGTGAGAGCAGATTCTGTCATTTCGTGTGTACCGGTCAGGACAAGTAAAAAGCAAGCAGTTAGCTTGAAAGTTAACCAGAGTGCACAGGTAATTACTAGCTTATATGTAAACCATCACTGACTGTTCTGATGCTGGGTAGTGGTGGGCATACCACTTCTTGGCGTATATCCCATTTTTGTTACTGATATGCATTATATGTCTGATGGCTTCATGCATACATATTGATTCATCATGTGTCAGTCATGTCATTGCTTCTGAATCATTTGAAATGACTGTAGAATCCTAATGTAAAATCTATATGCAGATTCACATAGCCTGATTAATTGGGTGTTTATTGCCTCATCTTACACAAATCCATCCAAACCATGGATTGGTGCGTTTTGAAGAACAATGAAAATTAAGCAGATTAAATACTCTATTCCAACTGTGAAGGTCTTTCATTTGAAGTTGTGCGTGAAATGAAAATGTTAAACTTAGCTTTAAGTCAGTGATGGTGTTTTTCTCAGACGTAAAAAGAAATGCTACCAAAGTTGCAAAAAACACAGTAGTCGGGAATAGTATATATATCCAATTTTCAATAAATTATTTTAGTTTCATTATGGAGGTATTGGTGGCATCAGACAGATGAATGATTCAGTAAGTTTAAGCCTTTTAAAGAAAAACCAGCTTGACCATATATATTTTTCATCAGTATAGGCACATATTCACCTGTGTTCCTACCATTAACGATCTAAATAAATGCCTTGAGAGTATTTTAATACCCAGTGAGCACCACACAAGGTACTCAGTATTCAGCAGCTCTAAAATTCATCCAGTTCATGTGCTAAATTTGTACATTTCTCATTTTGGATAGAGAGAAACAATATTCCCATATAATCTTTGTTCCCAACTTTCTGTAGAGAAATTTAGTATTATTCTTTGCTTTCAGACATTCACTGAAGTGAACCCACACTGTAGCTGATACTACTCTATGAGGTACTTGTGGGTTTGTATAAAGGCAGATCAAGGGATTTTTATTTTGTTTTTGCTTGGTTTCACTTCTTTTCTTAGGGTTTTAGTGTACAATGTAAAATTTCTAGTAATATGATATTGTGCCAACTCATTAGGATGGATTCAAATCTTTTAAGACGTGGTAATGGAAAAATATTTAGAGATTTGTGGAAGAGCTGCAGATGTTTCATTATCAACATGCATGCAGAGCTGAGAGCAGTTGTTTTGGTGTGCAGTTTATATCCTCCTCTGCAATGCACAGCTTCATGAGACTTGTGAAACAGATACAGGCAAAAGTTCTTGCTGCTAGGGTAGCTGTGTGGGGCTCTTGCTGAGCTGAGACATTGGATGTCACGAGCCTCTCTGATTTTTCTCCACCCCTTCACTGCATTAATGAAGCAGATGATAGTGCTCACAAAAGTTTGCAGAATACCAGTCATTAGAATGTAATCTAAAAAGTCAAACAAGCAAAAACTTTGTCAAAAAGTCAGCTCTGTTTTTTTGTGTTGACAGCTACAACACATGGAACACACAATATTGCAGTCTCTCTGTCGGAACAACGTGCTCTATTAAAAAAACTGAAACATATTAATATCTGGAAATGAACCTGAAGGAATCTGGCTGGTTCTTCATCACTGGCCACTACCTTATTTAAATTATACAGCGCAACTCATGCACTAAGAAAGTTGAAATTGTTTCCTTAGGAGCTATCTGTAGATAGCACCAGTCAGAATAAAAATTATTTACACAGAGACAAGTCTGCCAGTAGGAAGAAATAAATAATTAAAAAAAGTGTGTTATTTGCATGATGAGGGGAATTTATGAGCCTGACCCACTCTGCAAAAGTAAAGTTTGTTAAGGCCCTTTGTGAGCTCTAAGGATCCCTCTAATTTAATCAGCGGCAGCAGGTGCCTGCTCTTACTGTGCAAGTTTGGCTTTGGGTCTCGGGTTGGTGGGGGGGGTGTGGTTGTTTTCCTCAGTTGGTTGTGACTTAGTAAGGCCATGGCTGTCCACAGTTGCAGATATATACTTGCACTCGTCTCCTCTTCAAAATTGGCTGAGCATCAGAATGATTGTAATACACAGCACGGGTATTTTGCCACCCTCAGAGCTTTTCTGAATGTGAGAGGAATCCCAGAGCTTTGACTGAGTATCTTCACAGCCGTAACGAAGCCCATGAGGAGAGGACACCAAAACTGATGTCCTAAAATTTCAAATTATTTGTTAGATGTTTTCATCTTAATTCATTCAGAGATGGATAGAAGGTGTTTGAAGACCTTTGCTTTGAATCCACAAAAATGATCCTAAGGAAAAAAAAAAACCAACTGGCTTTTTTTAATCTCATTCCACAGTACTGGGTTTCAGTCAGCAGCAGTTACTACAATAATGTACAGTCTAAAGCCCATATCATACTGGAATAGGAGTACAGATTTTTGTTTCTCACCTAGTAGGGTTACACAGATAATAAATAGGAGGTGCATATGGCATAACTAAACTTTTTTTGTTTATTATGGTTAAGGCAAAAATATCCAATTTCAATAAAGCACTGCTTTTAGGTTGTGATACTTCTATTTTTAGTTTCTTTGAACAAAGCAAATATGGTTCATTTCAAGGTATAAATTCTTTATCTTTCTCATTTCAGAAGCCTGGAAATTAAGAACTGCAACTTTCCTGTTTCCTGCAAGGAGGAGACAAAAATGAATCTGAAATATTCCTGTTATGTGTCTCTGGAGGAATGTCAAGACAGACCAAAGAGCAAAAGTTTACTCTTTCTTTAAACTAGTTTTTATGATGAAATATAGCTGTAAGGTTTTTTTAAAAAAAAAAAGGGGGGGGGGCAAGCTAAAGTTTTTCTTGCTGTAGTGCAGGAAGCTCTCTACTGGGGTTTATACTGGTTTGTGCATAAAACAACATTGAAAAAAAAATTCACCTTAGAGTTTTCATCTTTTCTTAAAGGAGTTTACAGAAGTAATTCCCTTATCTTGGCCATCTAAAAAGCTGCATTAACGTGATTATACTGTGTGATCAAGGCTGTTTCTCTCTGAAAAATACACTTTCCCTCCTGGCATTCAGGAGCTGAAACTACACACAGATTAACTGCACATTTTTGAGTTATCATCAAGCGTTGCTCTGGATGCGTTTGGGCAACAGCCAACCTTCAAGCAAGGAAGATATGAAGCAGAGAAAGAACAGAGCATGTATTTTGTAAAAGGTTTTTAATATATAATTTGTTTCCTCGTTGAGCAAAGATCTTTTGAAATACTTGAGCCATAGCTGTCTCGCATCCATAGGTCTCTGTTTATCCAAAGAATATGTTCAAGGCTGTCCAGCTGATTTTGTGCTTGTTGTGGTGAAGCGGGTTGTTGGGCAAGGGCACTGCTCCTTCTGAAGCCCTGTTTTGCTCCTGTTTGTGGCTAATGAAGCCTCCTGCTGTGCTGGCTCCTGACCCAGAGTTTTTCTTGTCCTGTCCCTGGCAATACGCAACGCCCAGTAACAACAGAGGAATGTCCACCAAGCAAGGATGTGACAGGGCAGAGCTTTGTTCTGCTTCGTTTTGCAGGTTTTAACCACCCTATTGGTAAAACTGGAGTGTGTTTTCTATTTGAAGAGGGTACTCAAACCAGTTAAATCCTAAACTTGTGCTTTACTTTACCTCAGTGACTTACCTTGTCCGTTTTTTCCTAAATCTGCAGCAAAACAAGCCTTAGGTACAGGGTACTACATTTAGCCTTTCAAGCTGCTGCTCCTCAGGAAGCTCTCACTGACTGACTGTTGGTTCCTTCAATAGCAAAAAATGCAACAGAACAATAGGTTGAATTGAAACAATAGGCCATTGTTTTTTTAGGTAAAAAGCAGTGAAATAATGA